AATATCCAGATTAACCCTGAGTGAATACACAAATGTACATTGCAGTACATATGTACAGTATGCAAGCAGGACTCTAGTAATAACTGATGAACAGGCCTACGCTGTAGACTGTTTTACAATTTGAGTGGCAGCATCATATTTTCTAGCTTCAGGCAAAGTACAAATTTGACATACATAGAAATGTTGAAGGGAAAGATAAGCACAGGGTGTATTGCTTATTCATGCAGGGCCTACATACAGGCCTACATACAGAATTGTGGATTTTATAAATCTGTTTGTGTGTTTCTACTATGAGTGATGTGCTGCTAATTATTTCAGAACAATATTTTCAGTTGTTGAGGCTAAAAAGTAAAATTATTAATAAATAGAAAATTAAAATCATATTTCCTGTTTTTTACATATTTACTGGACACCCATCTTATTTACTGGACGGTATTTACTGGTATTTACCGCCCAACCCTGACAGGCCCACATCTGTACATCTGTATGCCATACATGTACATGTACATGTAGGCCTTAGAGCCTAGGACTAATCTGCACGTAATTTGAGCGACTATTCTTCCAGAATATTCAAATCATTTCCAAGTAATGTGTTCAAAATACAGATTACACGTGTTTGCCCGTCATATTAACCATTGAGCCACTGATAAGTTTAGTTTGCTTTCTTACTTTGTTTTGTTTTCTTTTGTTGTTGTTCTGTTTGTTGACATGGTACTATGCATGGAAAATCAGAGCATTGCAAGCTACCTGCTCAAAATGCTTTGATCAAACAATGCCTGACAAAACACATTGTAGATGTTTTGTTCCAAACAAACACAAAAGAATATATTACTTGAATTTAGACCAAAATCAAATAATACTCTTTAGTCTAGAGAACACCAATCATCCGTTCATAATCAAGGTGCGTCTTTTACAGTAAACTATATTTACAATTTACACAGTAGTAAAGTTTCATTGTGTACCTGTGGGCCTGAACATGGTCATGGTAGGCCTACACATGTACATGTACATGTATGCATACCACCATCCCCCTATATCACAACCGACGACCTTGAAGTACATCATCTACAGTGTACTTCAGCCTGGTAGGAAGTGGAAAGGTCAAAGTTCAAGTGGATTTGCAATCTTCTGAGATTAGAGTCAGTCAAGTACCATCTTTTCTACATTTTCTTATCTTACTAATGGTTGAATCATCATACTGTAGTCTAGTGTAGACCTAATGTACAAGCCCTGGTACAAGCATGCCTTTTTAAATGCACTGTGTATTCAACGAGATTATCACTGAATGATTTGCAATGTATAAAGAGAAGCTACACATTTCCTGAGCAAAAAGAACATTCTTCTTCCCAGGTACGGGTTTCATTATAGAAGTACTGTATATTTTTTACCAAAATATGCATAAGTTCAAAGATCTAGTTCAATTTGTTAATTTTCAAAAATACAAACTCACAATGGTATAAAAGGAGAAAACCTGGATTGTAATAATATGTATCTTTATGTTTTATTCTACAACTGAAGAGGGAAAAGTTTGGTAAAACATGCATGTACAGGTGTATAAGGCATAAATGTACATGCATGATGTGTAGCTCACTAGTAAGTGAAAACTGAAATTATCATAACAAATTTTAATGCTCAAAGATAGCTTACAGTGCATGTGTGCACAAATATAAAGATGTACATGTAGTACATTTTGTAAGTACTGATAGTTGCAAGTTCAAAGTTATGTATACAATTGTATGATACTGAATAGTAGCCCAAACTGACAGTCAATTTATCATTCTCCGTTTGGCTCTGCGACATATCGTTCATATGCACTTGTTAAAAGCACTTGTTAAAAATCAAGAGTGTGAAACTCATCACAATCATAGTAAACATATTCTGATCGCCTTGACAGCCCAACTCATAGTGCTATTCAGCTCAGTGGCAGACTCACTTAAACTCAAGCGCTTTACTTATTTTCAACACTGAGCATGTAAAACTCATCAATAATTTACATCAAAGCACTTTATACAGCTGTAAACAGAGTTCAGTACTGACTGTCTGTAGACAAGAGGCAGACAGGGAGAGACAAACATGAAACTTGAAATTACGTTTGCTTCTAAAAACCAAAACAGGGATTTCAATGCAGTCTCTCATGTGTTTCTTTGGTTTAATATTATACTTGTTTTTGTTTTTTGGCTTCTTATATATATTTTTTTTAATAAACAAAGCTGTTTTTTTAGCTTTTTAAGCTCATCATTCGGTTTATCCTTATCACAAAGAAAAGGCATTTCTAATTTGTTAAACGTCACATTTTGCTCACAACTTTCCTAAGATATATTTTTCATTCACTCAACAAGCACATTGAAAAAAAAAAAAATTTAAATCATAAAAATCCTCATGACAAAGATGAAGAGATTTTAGTTTTCAATGACAACTGTAGACAGCAAATTCTGCACAATTCAGAGGAACTGAGTGAGACGTCTCTGCAATATAACAAGAACACACCTTCTTTTAATGAGCCTTCCAAAATAGGGCTCCTTGTCAAATTGTTTGTAATTATAATTTTTTGTCTCCATTGTGCGTGTGTGTGTGTGTGTGTGTATAACCTGTCATAGTAGCAAGGTTGGCTGCACTGTCGTACACTGACCACTGCTCATTGCCACACACCATGCATGCTCAATGCTATGCCAGTGAGCACTGTATCAATACACACTGGCCCTGACTGGCATTGACCCTTTTCTTTGAAATTTTCAATTCAATAGCCCTCCTCTCTTCTGCAGCATACATGCATCTAATGTACATGCAAGTCTACAGGCTACAGGTGTACATTGTACAGCTACGGGAAGGGCGCACAACTTTCCCTTCCAATATGTACTTGAAATTTGCAATTGGGGCACTTGAATATTTATAACTACATGTCAATTCCACCAGCAAACCTATAGTAAATAGTCAACGTAGGCATAAAAAACTGTACTTGTACAGTACCTGTACACGTATTAAAAAGACGATAAACAGCTTCTTTTTTTTAATTGTGCATAGCACCAAGCAGTAGAAGTAGAACTATACATTTTTACTTTATGAAAAACAGTATGGCCTATTGAACAATTCATTCTTTATTAACGTATTACATGTACATAATGTTTGTACACTATACATCTGATTGATTAAAATTAATTATACCAAAAATATATGTAAGGCCTATAAATACAGGTCAAACAAAGCCCAAGTTCACTTTACTCACAGAATCACAACAATATACACATGTAGCCTATGGGTCTACACTACAGAGTGCACTTTTGTACAAGAGCATTGCAGCGTAATCGACTGCACAACATGAAAGTTTCATTCATGGGTTTCCCCTCGTCATGCCACGGTTAATATGGTCTGTTCTATACCACCCAGTACGATCCTGGTTCACATTGAACGTGACCAGCCCTGTACCCTGTGGAGCACGGGTAGACCTTGTTCTATCGGGCCTGTAATACGATCGCTATTCACAGTTGGGGGCTAGTCAAAGTCCAGAGAGCTCGGATCTAAAGATTAGGGAGAAGTTCTCTGGCAAGAACATGCAACTTCACCACTCTCGGTAGGGTAGGTGCAGAACTACCGCAGACTTGCAGAGTACTGTTTTGTCACACAAAATGAGAAAGTTTACAGTGCACCAGCACCATATTGTACACATTCCTTCAAGGAAAGTCATGATCAGAGAAAGTGCTGTACCCAGTCACATGCACAGTTGCACACAGACGGTGTGGCGGTACATGTATTATGCGTTATTGAATTACCTGAAACAGAATTACAGAATCTAAACTGTTAGAGATGTACATGTACACAGAGAAATATGCCTACACTGCAGGGGAACTGTAAAAATTGATGAACCATTTTCTTTTTATATATGAAGTTTTAGATTCACTACTTAGCCAAAGAGAAAAACTACCTTGATAGCAAATTATTCTCAGAGGAAAGCATGAAAATCAGAGAATTATACTGGTGAAAGTTTGAATAAAATCGTACAAAAAAATGAGAAAGTCATGAATTCTTTCAAGTTGTAATCACTATAGGCATGGGCTCTCCTAATTGGCAGAATCTTTAATATCTCTGTAATGTAGTGGTAGAAAACTTTTTTATTTGTTCCAACTTCTAACACAATCAATCTTGAGCAGTGGCACTTAAGAGAAAAAATAGAAATTGATAATATTTGTGTACACAACAAATGTGAGAGACACTATCCACCAACCAAACTGCCAATCTGAGATTCGCATACCGTAGATTCAGTAATCTCGTATTTCACACATTTTTTTACTTTCTTATCATTGACCCGATTTATTTCAGACTTTTTCCATTTCTGTTCATTAAATTTTCTGCTTTCATACCAATTAACTTATTACAAGGGTTGGATTGCCCTTTAAGCTAGATGGTAAAATTGTACACACTGTGCCATGGCACTAGGCAGGTCATACTGAAGTCTCTCATTTTTTAGTTTTGGCCCCATGCATCATTGCATTGCTAAACTCAGTAAACTGTACATGTATGATTGTAGTCAAAGCATATTTGTTTCATCCTCATTCCATGTGTCTCTGAATTTTTTTATTTTTATAATCACAATATTTACTTTCATTCAGTAAGCTATCAAAAAAACAATAATACTGTAGTCTGACACAGGCTTTCATCATCTAAATCAGAAATGACCGTGATGTAATCCAGACCTGCAATTGAAGGGGGAAATTATTTTTTAAATTTCGGGGGCTACTTTCCAAGCTTACTTGCATGAAAATAACATGATTTGATTTGTTTTGCATTGAACTCTATGCAAACTTTTGGGGGCTCTTTTATGACTTTTGGGGGCTCTTTTGGGCGTTTCGGGGGCTACTTCGCCCCGAGCCCCCCTTACTCAAGAACTCAAGAACTCTGACGACCGGTATTCACATAAAACAAAAAAAATTGCAACATTGGCTTCAAACAAAGAAAAGGAAAATAAATAAGATACAAGATTGTTAACTAAGATTGTATAAACTTACATGTTGGCCATGGTGATGGTTTTTACATCCTGGTATTTGATCAGGTGCCCCGTCAGCGGTCCAAAGATGTTCCTCTGAATCTCGATAGCGCGCATTGATACACCCTCTCAAGATGTACGAATCCCCTGTATCAATGGACATAAGAACATACAGCAATAAATTAAAATATGCTGTACTATTCTACATGTATGTTTATCATATTTGTTTCTTGTTCAGCCAGTGTCACTTTTGAGTTTTGACCATTCTTTCATTTTACAAAATATGTACAGTATTTACATGCACAGTATTTGGTCTGTATTTTATCCTTTCAATAAAATATTACTTCCGGTACATTGTATTTACTGTCAAGAGATTTTTTTCTTTTATAAACTGTACATTACACCCAAAACAATTTGTTTTGCTTTAAAAAAAATTACCACAAATAGAATGGAAATAGTATTTCTGGCATTATTTCATTTTACACAATAATGAAATTATATGAGTACTTCTACTGTAGTACAGTACCTGTTCATCAAGTTCACTTTGAAAATCCAGAATTTCACCAAAAATATTGTGTATAGAAAATGGGGATGTTTGACTGAAATTGAGATGGAAATGTGACCAACTGATTTAGCCAACTAACCTTCTGGATTTTCTCTCCTTTTGTAACTCCAAGACCAATCTGGGTGGAAAATAAAGAAAAAAAAATAGAGCATTATTTACATGCAATAAATTGAATTTCCTCATTTTTTAGAGAGAAAAAAAGTATAACTTGCAAGATGATGATGATGACGACGACGACGACGACGACGACAACGATGATTGTGATGATGATGATCGTGATGATTGTGATGATGATGATGATGATGATGGTGGTGGTGGTGGTGGTGGTGGTGGTGGTGGTGGTGGTGGAGGGGGTGGTGGTGGTGGTGGTGGTGGTGGTGGTGGTGGTGGTGGTGGTGTTGTTGGTGATGATGCCACTGATGATGATGATGATGATGATGATGATGATGATGAATATACCGGTACATGTACAGGTAATACCTAAATTGTTCTTACCCTTACCAAGTTTTCATAATTTTTTTAAGTATCTGAATAATTTGTCCTGATTTATGTTTCTTGAGAATGCAATATATTGAACTTGAAACTTACATCTTGGAGTATTCAACAAAGGCCTGGTCCCCCTTTCATTCTTGAGTTACAAAAACTATTTATTAAACCACATTTAAGACGTCCGTATATTGTATATGGCGTCATATTTCTAATTACAAAAACAAAACATTCACATTTTTTGCCAAAAATATGATGGTGGTGAATGAATGGTGATTCACAGCATTTATATAGAGTCTAAGGCAATATTTCTGTTCACAAAAACTTTCACAATGAAAACAAAATAATGATCTGATTTAAACTTTTTAAATGTAGAATCTAGACTTCTAAGTTCAATATAAAACAGACCTTATTTTATCAAAAGAAACAGCCCCCTCCCATAAAAGTGGTGTTATCTCATCATCAGATCATCACTAGTGATCAATTGGAATAGACCCTATGTATACTAAATTACTAATATCATTTTCACAAAAATAATCACTATCACGTCTTCATGATCATTACCATTTTCATCATCATCTTCACCATCATATTCATAATCATTCATCATCATTCATCATCACCAACTGCCAACACCATATTGATATTTGTCATCATCATCAGTACCATCGACCATCATCATTAGTACCATCGACCATCATCATCATCACAATCATCATCCTCATCATCATCACCACCATCATCGTCAACAAATCAACAAAGTCGAGTGGGATTGGCAAGTAATCAACGTAATGTGTAAAAAAAAATATGAGCAGCCGTGGCGGCTACTCTTCCTCGCTCGGCCTCGTCGTTAGCACAGGCCCGACCCACTTGGCCTGGCGCTGACAGCGGCAGGCACCAGTGCACGGGTTCCAAGGCCCCACAGTCGGTCTCACCCGATCGAGTCAATTCTGATCAACGCTAGGAAAATAAAATGATGAACGAAATCAAACTTACTTGATCCTGGCCTACTTTGAGACTTTCCCATCCTTGACTACCGTACATCAGGTGTTTGATAGCTCATGCAAAAAAATCCAATGTACCATCCAGAAATTGATAAACTCCCGATGTCTTGTTTCTGATTTTACTCTAAATTTCCAATCTTGTTCCAATCTATCTGTATACAAATTGTGAACGTACGTACGGACGTGCGTTGTTTTGCGATCGTACTTACGCCTACGTGTCGTCGCATCGCACGCTCTTGCCCGCGAAATGGTGGAAGTTTGTTTGAAGTAATACTGTTCTAGAGCAGCAAGTCTATTCCAACTCCCTGCAGTAAAGGAGAGGAGGAAGGGGTCTTTATGCTTTACTTTGTAATTACTTTGTAATTCTTGTACTTAATATCATTTTCTATCATCAGTTTAATGTTGTTATTATTATTATTATCTTTAGTAAGTACCGTAGTCCTTTTAATTTTCTTATCTGTCTGTAAATATTATTATTTTAACTTATTAATTTTGTACATGTCTGTAAGGGACCCCACTGGAAAAAAGCTCTCGAGCTTTCGTGGGTTATCCTGTTCAAGCTGACTTATTTTTTATCTGTTATTATTGTATATTGTTGTATGTTGGAAGCTTGTCGAATAAAAATTAATCAATCAATCAATCAATCGAGGCAACGAAACGAGAAATGGCAGTGGGAGGGTTGGAATGGGGTGAGGATTGGAGATCTCCCAATACTTTCTCCTGTAATTAAATCACATTATCCCGTACTTCTTCAACAATAGCCCCGCCCCTTCCTCTACTCTCACACTCATAATGACTGCCGAAATTTACGAGGGATAAAGTTTGTGACTTGGGGGGGGGGGAGGGGGTCGAAATCGAAAATTCTTCATTGCAAAGAAAGGAATCCAACAGAGTAAGTTAGTGTCATCCAAATGACAAGGGTGAGGTAAAGAAAATTGCCTTGGCTAATCGGGGGCCGCGGGGAGGGGGGGGGGAGTATGTAAATAGAAGACAAGGGTTTTTTTTTCAATGATTTGGTGTGATCTGATCTGATTGTGATATAATATCTGCGTAGAATTTCCTACCCTTTTTCGATGTAGATTTCACTGATTTGCCTATTGCATTACGGTGGTGAAGTTCCGGAGTGAGGGCATGAGACCCAAAATAATTATTAATGACCAAACAAAACTAAAATAAGTTGGCGAATTTCTTAATTTGTATTATATACTTTCGGCAATCTCAACACTTAACAATTTCGGTTGACTTGACTGTTGGAAAAGTAAGGATGTTCTCGTGTATATAATTATGTCGGCAAATTTGAAATTCTGATGACACTTCAGCGAAAAGCAAGCTGAATATTGAGGAAACTTCACCAAGCAATTTTTTACCTTTTTAAACTTAGCGGATGATCTGCCTTTAGCTGGATTTTCCAATTGTCTTGTGAGAGACAGACGAGTCTCATACAAACAAATACAGCCAACCACTTTCCATTTTGGCGGTTAAAAAGTGGGGTTACGGGGGGGGGGGGTGGGATGCGGGCTATACGGTATCAGTGTGATAAGACCGGACGTTTAAACTTATTGATCAATGATGCAGCTTTTATCGTTAGAGGACGCTTTAACAGGAGACACTACTAATGGATCATCGATAAAGTTTGAAAGAGATGGATACAAATACGCGATTAAACTGGAATGATAAACTAGAATGATGAACTACTTTTAAACAAGTCTTTTCTTTCCGGCGATTCAAGGAGATCACTGTCTTGAGCTATCTAGAGCTACAGGCGAAATGAACATCAGAGGAGATACCGCGGCCAAAAGGCGATTTCATTGACCCACTTAATTTGTCGATCAAACAAGGCCAAATAGGCCCCTATCAGGACAAAAATAGGGAAGAAGCGAAGATTGTGTAAGAGGGTCGGATCGAGGGAGGAGTGAGAGAGAGATGGAGAGGAGAGAGAGAGAGAGAGAGAGAAAGAATACATAATGATGGGAGATAAAACAAGAGAATGCATGGTAGAGAGGGAGAGAGAAAGAGGGGGAAGCTAGAGTGTGAGAAAGAGAAAGAGGGAGAGAGAGAGGGGGGGGGGGGGAATGAAAATCGAGTTCAAACTGTTCTTCACAGATATTAATATCGAGTATAGCAGCAATTCAATTTATTCAAATACACAGCATAAAATCGTAAACTATATTGTATGGCTTTCTGACATCTGAGACGTAAGATTGATGAAAGAAAGAAGGAAATAAAAAGTAGAGCATAATAATTACGTGAGATGAGGACTGTTCCTATAATTCCGTAATTTAGTTAATAGGCTGAACAAAATATTAATACACAGAAAAGTAGAGAGAGAGAGGAGTGGAGCAATAACATCAACTGATGATGATAATGATGATAACAATGCTAATGATAATAATAATAATAATAAAAATATAAATAACAAATATAATATATAGCATCAGAAATAGTAATAACAATAATATTACTAATGATTATCATAATGATAATAATAACAATAATAACACGAATAGAAATAAATGGTATTATAGTAATGATGAAAATTAAAATGTTTTAAGGCGCCAAATCCACATGAACTCAAAATTAATGATCGAGTCAGAGTGCACCAGTACACCATGAAATCACATCAAAAGCATATACTACACAAAAGAAAACAGAATGGCGAAAAGTGATAAACAAAAGGAAAAACAGAGAAAAGAAAATTTGAGAAAAGAAAATTATGGAGGAGAAGATATCGACTGTCGGAAAAGATAGCAAAGACAAAACTCATTACAGAGAGAGAGAAAAATCGAACGCATCGATGCGGGACTGCTCAATGAGTCACCGACGGATGGTGTTACGCTCGTTCAACATCTCACAAAGATTACACGTATCGACAAACTGTAGTGTCTCCGGGCAAAGGAAAAAGCTTTGGTTTACCCCCCTTGTTCGATTTTGAAAGGGCTTTGGGTCATAGCCCCGCTCTCTTGCTGCAAGTGCTTCCCTTTATTTTATAACCCACATTAAAAAATAGATAAATACATAAAGTAGTGTGGGGTATGACAAATGAACAAACGCTTAATAAACTTAATAAACAGGGTACTAGCAGTACCAGCATGCACGCACAATATTTCTATACAAGTACACCGCCAAGCAAAAAAAAAAAACTTATCACGGCCGTTCCTTGGCGGTATCATTTTAATGACACATCGCAGAGCTATCGCGTTACTTTGAAGAAGAACAAAAACAAATTTGCGGCTTCCCTTGAATTGTTCGCTCCAGGGACAAATTTTGATCATTTTATCAAAATTTCATCGATAGAAAAAATAATGTTTTGCAAATTGGCATTGGTTGGAAGCTTTCGGTGTCGCAGGCCGAACCTCGGACGGCAAAAATAAAAGAAAATGAAAATAAAATTAGGGGCTATCAAATTGCGATCCCATGAATGTTGGTAGCATGGGATTGAAAAATTAATACTCATTACACAAACTAGTCATGTTCTATCTTCATGCCGCTTCTATAGGATGTGTCAAGAAAGAGAAATATTTTGTTCACGTTTCCATGCTCTTTTTGCTTTGCTTTGCATCATCATTTTGTATGTACATGTTTGTATAAATATTATTATGGTCAAAGAAAATTTGTTCATACTTAACAATATCAATTTTTTTCCCTGTAACTTAGGGAATATCAGGTTTCAATGAAAAGTGTGTTCCGCCCTAAACAAAATCAAAGAAGGCTAAATATGACTATATGGTGCACATCTGATATGGGATGTTCTTGGTGCTTTCAAATTTATTGCTTTCTCATCAATCAGAATAATGATTTATCACACTTTTCATGATAAGGATACTATGTTGCAATACTTGACAAGAAAATAATTTGCACTGTGCCTTGAGTATTTGTGTTCATATGGATTTGGCGCCTTAAAAAATAAGTTGTATATTAATAGTTTAATCTTCAGCTTGAAAGCTTGAAAGAAAAATTCTTATATTACCATGATCAATACCGATCGAGGAAATAAGTGGTGTTTAGCAGCGAGTTGTGAAAAATCAGCATTTTGAATGATACTCTTATTAAGTCACGAATAGTGATTTACCTCAAAAAGATTAGTGTCAGCAAATCTTTAATCAGCAAACGGAATTGCGATGAAATAAATAATTTAAAAAAAATACATTATTGGGAAAGGATGTTCATTATATAGGTTAGCCACAGAAAGCCCAGATTGTGGGGTAGGATGTTTATAATTTTGTAATATTAATTTTTTTATAGCTTTAGAATATATGGATGTATAATGAACATTCCATTATTTCTTAAAGGTAATACAAAGTTTTGGTATGGGGTCATGAATTTGGTTCAAATGAACATATCGGAAGCATATACGATCCTACAATATTCAGTGATCGTTGTCGCGGTCGAAATCGACTCTAAAGTTATGAAATTGTAAATAATAAACACTTTATGTTGAATAGCTCCCTCTCAAGGTCAAGATATTGATTAAGCTATAAAACAATGTTTAGTGACTTAAATTGACTGATTAGCTATTCTCGTTCGGAAATTATATACCACAACTACATACTCTGAGATTTTCATGGTCGCAGCTACCATTGTACGGCCGTAGGAGCTATTTGAAATTTATCAAAATTTACCGGGAGCACCGGTAAATCTTTATATTCAATATTTCTCGAAAGCAGAAGTGTTTTAGGGGCTAAAATTTCTGGTGTTTTTAATACATCCACAGGGGCATCCAAATATATTAAAATTGTTAAGAACCACTATCCACCCATTTTTCAAAATTTCCCAAAACTTTGTAATACCTTTAATTTCTTAGAATTTAGTATCATTTATTACTTTTTTTTCAATACATTGCATTAAACATTATTGGTCGCAAAATAGTGAATGCAAAATGTAACCTATATAAAACATGGTTTGATGGCATTTCGGCAACCATTTTGTTTATGACCCTATAATGGTGGCAATCAATTTACATAATCACGTAAACATGGAATGAGTCTTGCATGGTGCAGCACAGTCAGAAAACTAATCAAAGCTATATAGGGGGAAAGACTAAACTTACAAATCCTTATACTCTCTTAATTTCTACGACTTACTTTAAATCCAAGTCCCCCTTGGATTTAGAATAAATTCTTTGGACTTTAAAATAAGTCCTAGAAATTAAGAGAGTAGGAATCATTATCATGCTCATTATTCTTCCAATATGTTTGAGATATAG